CCCCTGGGTGGCTGTGGGCAGGGGGATGCTGGGGGACAGTCGCCACCGGGGTCCCTGTTCCGGCCGATGGTTAAAGATGCTCCTTTGGGTGGTTGTTGTTGTTGTTTAAATGGTTTTATTGGGCGCTGCCGGGGCCGGGCCTGGCAGGACTTAATGAAGGAGATTGATGGCTTAATAGCCCCGAGCCATTACGGGGTAATTGAATGGTTGTGGACGTATGATCACTGTGACAGTGGACCTGGCTCAGGAGCAAAGCGCCCGGAGCCAGGAGGGGGGACATGCTCAGCCCCCTCCCCACGCCCCCAGAGGGGCAGCGTGGTGGGAGCAGAGCCCCCAGCCTTGGGGGTGGGACCTCCACCCGTCCCCGAGGTCCAGGCTGTGTGGGCACCCAGTGGTGAGGAGATGGAGCTGGTCTCCAGGTTCAACCAGTGGCGTCTGGTCACCAAAACCCATCGCCGGCCGGCTCGGCGGCCCCGTAACGAGGCTTTTAATTAACAGACCCCATCTAAGGGGTGAAGAGCAGTGTGGAGGTGGGAGCTGTGGGTGTCCAGCACGGGCAGCATCCCCAAACCAAACCCCAAGGCTGAGCTGCTGACCACCCTCCCTGCCCAAGCTACCACCAGGGAGAAACCCCATCGGAGCCAGAGCCAGGTAGACACAGGGAGGTGTGAGTGAAGCTCCTCCTCTGAGTGTGACAAGCAGGTGTTTTACAGCATTTGCTACCTGTGATCATCCATCACAGCGATCGATAGCGTTCCTGCAGAGTTTTATTAATGATCTTGTCACAGGGCTGGTGCTGGGTGCCGGGGGTTGTCGAGAATGATAGATCATTAAGAGCTTTTGCTGCTATTTATTCTCCAGTGACCTTGTCTCTCTCCATTGTTGCTTGCTTAAGAGTTATGAATGTGAGACATGATAATTTGATATTGATCTATTTGGTAAGTTAAAAAATTTACTGCATCGTTGATGTTTTAACAAAGGATCCGCTCGGTCCCTCCTGCAGGCCAGGGAGAGCCACGGGTGCTCAGCTCTGCAGGCCATGGAGAGGGGACAAAGTGGGTGCTGTGCGGGTCAGGGGTGCTGCCTGAGCTCTGGGTGTCCCTGGAGGGCCCCATCCTGACCTCTTCTGATGTACTGAAAGCAGGACTAGGGAAGGGATTGTCCCTCTGGGATTGTCCCTCAAATTCTGGGGTCAGTTTTGGGACCCTCACTCCAAGAAGGACCTTGAGGGGCTGGAGCGTGGCCAGAGAAGGGCAACGAAGCTGCTGGGGAAGGGTCTAGAGCCCAAGTGTGGGGAGGAGCAGCTGAGGGAGCTGGGGGTGCTGAGCCTGGAGCAAAGGAGGCTCAGGGGAGACCTTCTGTCTCTCCACGGCTCCCTGACAGGATCTTAAAGATCTCTTTGAACCCAAATGCTTCTGTGATTCCGTTTCCATGAAAACCAGGTGCTGGCACTGCCCTGGGAGATGCTGCCGTGGGCAGGGGGCAAGGATGGGCAGAATGGTGCATGGCTGGACCTGTCTGTGCAGGCAGGACGGGGTGGGATGGAGGAAACTTGTCCCCATCCACGTCCTCCTTCCCTCTCCTGTCCCCTCTCTTGTCCCTGTCCTGTCCCTGCTCTCTCTGCCCAGTCCTCTCCACATTCTCACCATGGTCACTAACGGTCTTCACAGATGTTTGGGGCTCCACTGACTCTAAGAAAGGTATTCCATGTAATTACTTGTGCTCCCTGTCCCTCTTGCCCTCTCAGGGTCCCTCTGGCTGGTGGGGACACCTGGGGCTTCCCATCACCCCCTTGGCACTGGGCAGGATCCCACTGGTGAGGGATCCATTTGCTCTCTGGGACTGTCCCTCTCTATAAACTCTGGGGAAAGTCGCTGAGCCCACGGGAAGGGCAGAGAGGAGGCAGAACGAGCTGGCAGCACTGCTGGCACTGCCTGCAGACAGGAGCTCAAGGAGTGATTCCACATGGCCATGGGTTGCACGTGGCCTGAGGCAGAGCTGGAATGGGAACAGGGACCAGCACCCAGAGGCAGAAGGTGGCAAGGCCGGGGACCTGGGGTGCCCAGAGAGCCCTCCCCACCCCAGCAGAGCAGCTCTGGTGGGCTGGCATCACAGGGCTGAGACCCACCGAGGGCACACGGGGCTCGTCTGCCCCCGAGCAGCTGCTGCTGGGGCCAGCGTGGGGTGGATGCAGAGGGGTTTGTGGTGCCTGCTTTTCACCTGCCTCCTACAGACCTGAAAGGGCCTAAATAGAGCAGCTTTGGCTGGCTACTTTTGAATGCTACTTTTATTGGTCTCTATTCAGGGACCAGCCTGCAGGGAGCCCAGACCTGGCACCGCTCCTCGCCGCTGGCACCTCGTCGGTGCTGGTGCAGAGGAGAGTGGAGGTGGTGCAGGAGCAAACAGCCTCCAGGCTTGTGGCCCTGGCCCAGGGCCGTGCTCTAGGCTGGGTAGAAGCGCTGCAGAAGCTCCTTCTTGTTGACTTTGCCCATCTGGTTGCGGGGGATCTCCTCCACCACGATCAGCTCGGAGGGGATGGCGTACGGTGCCATGCTCTCCCTGCAACACAGGGGCACAGGCTGTTAGGGGTGAGGGAGCCTCCAGCACCTCCAGCACGTCCTGAGCCCTCCCAAATGCTGCTGGACCTGGATTTGATCTGGGATTCTGCTCCGAGACCCCTTCCTGAGCTGGGCCGTGGGCTGCCTGCCCCCAGCCTGTCTCTGCCAGGAGGCTTAAGGATGAGCAGTCATTGCAGTGAAGAGCTCCCTTCCCTGCTCTTCATCACTCCTGCCCCATGCTGAGGCCATGGAGGGTCACACAAACCCAGAATCCCAGCAGGGTGGGGCTGGGAGGGACCTCTGGGGATCATCTCCTCCAGCCCCCCTGCTCCAGCAGCTCACCCACAGCAGGGTGCCCAGGGTCACATCCAGGCAGGTTTGGGATCTCTCCAGAGCAGGAGACTCC